CCAATAAGGGTTTATACGGTATTGGATTCCAATATTTTCAGCGTATTATGGATATTGGAATCCCATAACAAATCCTTATTGTAATACAATACAATAAATGTAATGTTTTCCAATACACTGTCTATATTGTATTGCAATACAATAAGAAGATATTGTTTACCAATATCCATAATACGCTGTTTATATTGGGGTTTTCCAATAGGGACGGCTGGATTTGTCATTGGCGTCATTGCCATTGACAATACTAAATTGTGAAACGACAAAGGTTGAAAACAAGTCGGGGTTCCGCAAACACCGAAACCTCAAAATCAATACACAGCCAGACGTAGTCGGTAGAGGCTGGTATTCATCCCGTCATATCCATCTGCATACCCTGCGGCAGCGTTGCGTGCAATGGTAAGGGGTAAAATATAGAGGCTTCAACTGCCCGCTGCCTTTTCATCTTCTATGAAATCTCTATAATTCACGGCATTCACTCTTACAAACAACACAGCCCCTCTTTACTCTAAGAAGCACAAATAGTAAGGCACAAACTGGAAACCGGAACAGCGGCTTTTGCCGTGTCCCGAACGACCTGTTCGCCTTATGAAACTTTGAGGAGATAAGTGGTAAGATTCCTTGTGCCAATGGTCCAAAATATGAGAAAAAAAACTGGGGTGGCATTGTTTGTCAAGACCATTTACCCTGTACGATGTCGAAGCTTAACAGTAAAATACGGCCGTTAAAACCTGATAAAAGGTTTTAACGGCCGATGTTTTTCGTTCATTTTTTATTAATTTGGAAACATATAACCCCAGGGTGAGTCTGCAAAGTTTTTTAAACATTCCTAAAATAGGGTGCCTGAGAAAGTGTCCTTTTTTTTTAGTGAACTAAATGTCAGAGACGGCGCACGTCAGGGACATAATAGAATTAGCAAATTATATAGATTAAGTTCTATCTTAATAAAATCGGAACTAGTAGAAATAAACGTGCGGTTCTAATTATGAGTTTGCTGAGTTCAATAAAAAAACTAATTATTCATTTTCCATCAACTAGAAGCACGTGCAAAGTACGGGGGTGCGCTAAAATAAATGCACCGCTCGTGCAGCAGGTTCAAAGCCGGCGAAAACGCTAAGAAGACTAAAATCCGCGGTTTCACAGCGCCTTCCTCCCGCCTACTGCACAATGGGTAACTTAAGCGAACCACTGCGCTTAATACGTACATGAAGTCGTCCTAAAATTGAGGGATTTAGATGATGGCCAGAAAATTCATAATTAGAACCATATGCTTTGTTTTTACTGAATACATGTTATTTAGTAAAGCCCAGGTAAATCTTTCTGATGTGTACGCTTTTTCTAATTCCTGACATCAGCCGTGACTGGCAGTTTGTTCCCACAGAAAGTGTCCCTAATTTTATAAATTTGTTATTCTTTTTAGAATAACAAATTTAGTATAACGATACATTAATTGGGTACAAACGTGAATATATTCAAGATTGATGCACACAAAGGAAACGGGTCACAGACAAAAAGGAGCACATACACAAACGTGGGAACAAGGATTGCGTACACATAATGAGCGTATTCAAAATTTAGTCGAAACACAAAAAGATAAGGAAAAATACATTTCTATACTTCAATACGAATCTCTAATCTCATATCAAAAAACAACGTCATCTGAAACTGACATTAGCACTTCTGTATCGAATAAACATACGAGCCTTGAGGTAGCGATTGAAGAAAAAAGGATCAAGTTTAATGGTTGGTCCCTTTAAATAGGCCAGCCGTGACGCTGCCCGTGGTGCAGCAGGTTGCCAGAGTAGCAGCACCGTTACATCTTCCTTTTTTTGTGAGGGATGGCGAGAGCAGTGAAGTTACGGGTGCTGCTGAAAACGGACCGCCATACCACAACCTAGCGGGTGGTTGTCCAACACGTATTTGTTTCGCGGCAGTTCCATGATCTGTGGAAAGCTGCCCTGTCTCCACTGGCGTGTCTACCACAAAGTTGCTCCGCGCAGGCGCTTGAAGATAAGTTTCACCACTGTCTGCCGAGGGGCAGGAAGAGTAAGCACGTTCTGTGGCACGGGCCTCGGGGTGGTCTGCATCTAGGACAAAGTCTTCGTAGGTAGGTTTGAGGTGAACCCTGTTCCTTCTTTATTCTTGTCTATCTTCCATGCTTACTATATATGAACGTGGAGCTACACCTCGTTGTACCTGAGCCTTTCTGTTCCACCCCCGATCGTCCCGGATTCGCACATTTTGACCCACAGCAAGAGGAAGCTGTGTAGATTCCCGATTTCGATGCTGAGAGCGCTTCTGTCCTGGTGATGGGTCCCGTGGCGCAAAGTCGGGAATCGGAGACCGCTATCTCCGTCCCATGAGCAGCTGGCTCGGGTTCCGGCCATCGTCTAGGGGGGTTGATCTGTAATTCAACAGTCCAAGCCAAAAATCTTCGTTGGCGTGAATCTTTTTTTTTTTTCTTTTTTTTTAATTTTTTCAACTTTCTGGACTCCTTTTTTGGCGAGCCCATTTGGTCAAGGAAAACGAGGGCTTTCTGTTGTGTGTACGAAGTCGTACCCGTGAGCGAACTACTGAAACTCGTGTGAGGAAAACTGTGGGCCATTATCCGAGCATTGTTCCAGTGGTATTCTATGTATTGAGAATAAACTGCTCAACTTCTCAACGTCAAGAATTCGCAGCGGTTTCTTGACTTGATTAAATTGTATCGCCAATTCATCCCTTCCTGCGCAGAGATCACTCACTCCCTGACTTTGCTCTTGCGCAAGGGCGATAAATGGCGATGGGGGGGAGGAGCAGCGCGACGCCATTCTTCGCCTCTCGAAAGCAATGTTCCGTCCTCTCTCTGTTTTATACTTTCTGTTATGTAGTCATCACGGACGTCGCCTCTTTGCAGTTGCCGGATCTCAATCGCCCATTTGTTGTTCAAACAGATGCCAGCAAATTCGACCTCGCCGCCGTCCTGCTTCACGAACTCAACAACGTCCTTCGCCCAGTCGCCTTCGCCAGCCGCGCGCTGACAGCGGCCGAGCGGAACCATTGCGTGACGGGAAAGGAATGTCTCGCCATCATCTTCGCCCTCAAGAAGTTTAACATGTATCTCGATGGTGCTCCCTTTCAGATCCAGACTGATCACCAATCGCTCTCCTGGCTGAAGAACCCTGCAAAACCCAGCCGGACGTCTTGCACGATGGGCTTTGACACTACAAGCGTACGACTACTCCATCGCGTACAGGAAAGGAGCGACTAAAGTCGTGGCAGACACATTGTCACCGGCTCCTTTGCAGTTCTCTCCCACTCAGACAGAACCAAAGTTCGTGAGATTAACTCACATCGTGGCCAACACTTCGGGGTCGCGGTGGGGGACGTTGCTGAGCCGAGCAGACCTCCGCAAGGCTCAGCAGGAAGACGGACTTTGCCGACGCGTGTGCGAAGGGCTTGCAGTACAGAGAGCAGGCAGCACCGGACGCGACGGCGAGTACGACTCATACCTGCTCAGCAAGGACGGAGTTCTTCTCCGCTACATCCCGCAGGCAGACGATGACACCGATGGATCGCCTTTCCGGATCGTGATACCTCGTAAGCTGCGCAAGTCATTTATCATGTATTTCCGTGATTCAGCATTAGCGGGTAGTAAGACTTACGATAAGTTATGTCGTGTTGCGACTTGGCCAGGAATCAGGCAGGATGTACTGAAGTATATTCGCAGTTGCCCGGTGTGCCAGAAGGGGCAACCGCGCGGACGCCATCCACCAGGATTATTGCAGCTAGCCGTAAGCCAGTCGCCTTGGCAGATTGTTACTTGTGAAATCATGGGACCGTTTCCGCGTAGTCCTCGCGGAAGTCAGTATCTACTGGTTGTGACCGACCACTTCACCAAGTGGGTCGAACTGTTTCCCTTGCGGAAGCTTCTTTCGCAGCGGATCTGGGAAGATTTCCTGTCCGTCTTCACCAGATTCAGCTTCCTGGCAGAGCTCCTCACGGACGGTGCTTCGTACTTTCGGAGCAAGATCTTCGTCAACACCTGCGCAGCGCTTGGAATGCAGCAGAAGCTAACGTCGCCATATCACTCGCCGGCCATCATCACGGAGAGGGTCAACCACAACCTCAAAATGATGTTGATCTTCCACACACTCCGTCACAAAGACTAGGTTGCCAAACTCGACGAGATGGCACTCGCAACGCGCACAACAATCAACCGGTTTCACACCTGCGCTCCTCAACTTTGGTAAGGAGACGACCTTCCCAATAGAAAACTCATTTTCATACACAGGTTTCACGCAGAATGGACGCCCGTATGCGCAGTTCGCTCAAGATGTCTATCGCCGACTCTCGTCGGCCGTTCACGAAGCACGAGAGAACCTCCACGTCGCTCGTCTTGCCGCCCAGTACAAGAAGGGCCGCCGCGACGTTCAATTTCAGGTTGTAGAGCTGGTACTTCGCCGGACACATCCCCACAGTGACTCGTCAAAAGGCTTCACAGCATCCCTCGCGAACGGCTGGGGGGGGGGGGGGGGGGGGGGAGGGTCCATCTTCTTCCCGCGGGTCTGCCCTTTTTTTTCGCAAAGGGGCAATTTTGTTCGCGAGTGGCTCCGAACCTGTTTGGCATATTGCAACCAGACCCGTTAATTCGCGTTATTTTTTCTATCTGTGTGTGCGTTCCGTATCGTTCTCGCAAGATCGCCACTACCACCAGGACCTGGTCCGCCGCGCCCATCATTTCAGGCGGTTGGCGGCGCGTTACCCGCCACGCCATGAGCAAGCCAGTGTCGCGACCTTGACGGTGTTGGCCCAGGACCGTCCGGTGGTCTGGGCTTCGAGGCTGCGTTGTAGGGAGCAGCCTTGGCCCGAGCGCGGCACGCCCCCGGACACCATCCCCGAGCCCTTCCGGGGCAACACCGTGGAAGCCCGCCACCCACAGGGGCCCGTGGCCGTTTACAACGTGGCGGAGCGCCGCCTGCTGTGCCCCGTTTCGGGTGCCGGAGCTCCACCGCCCCACTCACCTGGCGGATGCCCTGCACCAGGCCCACGTGGCCGCGGACTGGGCGCGCCGTGCTGCGCCACCTCCTGCGGCTCCTCCAGTGGCCCCCCGCCTGTTGGAGGTGGCCGAGGTCGTCCGGGTCCTCCGCCTTGCGCGCCCGGACCTGCTCCGCGATCCGGACAATGAAGAGGCCATCCTGGACCTTGCCCTCTATTGGGGGAAGGGGGGGGGGGGGGCGCTCGGCCCGCCACGCAGCGGCGAATGCCGTTAGCAACGGCGAGAGGCTATTCCCACGCCCGCCTAGAAATTAGACGGCCGAGCCCGGTCAGGGGCGATAGACCATTTACGAAAGTCAGTCAAGCAACTATGAGATACCGAAACCGCCGCCATTACTGCGTCGTCGTTTCGGGAGCCAGCGATGGCAGGTGCTTGTTGCAGTACTCCCGGTACCTTTGGCTACGTTCCTTAGGAACGAGTGACTTTGCCTTCGCCGTGGGGCACTGACCTCACAGCAGTTCCGCGTAGCTTTAACAAGTGTAAGATAGAGGCGTACCGCGCCTCGACACTCGCTTCGAGCCGCCAGGTTGCCCTAAGCAACAAGTTCATCACCGAGGCCTACGTTGACCCGGCGTCGGTTCAAGTGTTGAGGTAAGCACTGTTCTTTCTCGTCACCCGTTCAGACCTAAGCGTGAGCCAACCGAAAGCTACAACCGCCCGCATCACGCGCTTGAACGTGTCTTTTAGTTGCAGGGGGACTTGTGCCGTCTGCCGCAGCGTTGTGCACATGGAAACGCGGAAAGAGGCCTAAGATACTCGCCCATCCTCGACCTCTTTTGCATGATGAAATGAAATGTAATATTTTCTGGCTCGGTGCCTTATCACAGCTTGAGATAATGGTGCGAAGCTCAATGGCGTACGGACTAAAGAGTACGATGCGGGGGGTGAGAGGTAAACAGAATCGTTCTTGCGGCGTGCCGGTGAACTTCGCCTCTGTAGGCCGTGCTTCATAGGTTTTTCTTCTTTTTTTAGCAAAGGCGCTTGTTTTGATTAATTGCTTTCTGTGCTGGTCAGTTTCACGTTCTCGGTTTGATAGGTGTCAACTATCAGCACGAGCATGCTAGCTCAAAAGTTACGACAAACCTGTCCTAACTTTCGGTGCAGTAAAAGCTTCCGGCCTTTAGTAAATGAATAATCGCATATATGACGCGTCCTTTTTCACACATAGTGAGCACTGCTAAGATTATGCCTCTTACTTATTTGAAAAACAATGTGGGTGAACACATAGTATGTTTGTTCACTGTACAATCTATGCAGTAAACATAAGTAAACAAGAACGAAACTTTATTTCAGATCCACCACCGGAGTGTTCATCAAAGCAAGTTGCTTCAGAAGCCAGAGGAAAGCCAAAGTAGGAAACCTGGGAGTATAAATAATAAAAATGTGGTTGTATAACTTAAACGATGCAGACGGAGCTTTCCGATATAAACTTCTATCTGTTGGGCTGTTCGAGTGGTTGTTTTTAAAGAGCCTTCTGTCAAGACTCAGGTGTGTCTCTTTGTCCCTATTTGTTTCGTTACAAGCTCTTCAAACGACCTTAATAAAGTCAACTCTCCTATGCATTCCTTGAGCACGTCTGTTTTACTCTTCAGTGTTATTCTCAACAACAAATTGTTCATTCATTCATTACATACTTTATGTTGTGGCAGACAAATATGCTGTGTGATGTATTCTATGGCATGCTGTGCCTTTTGCGGTTGTGATCGGGTGAGTTCTATTCTCAGAGAGAAAGTTACGAGGTGATGTGGTCGAAGCACTTGAAAAGCAGCTCTAGCAGAACGTTGCGGGGACGAGCAAAGCAAATCGTTCTCGGAGGCCCGATACCGCCCCGGGCGCGCGCATGAAAACATGTTTAGAAGTAGCAGCACGAGCTCCCGATAGAGGAATTAAAGAGACGAAGTACACCTCTCCGTGCTAGCAAGAGCAACCATGCAATGCCGATGTCGTGAACGTAAAACAGTGTTCTATCGAATTCCATGTAATGTTGTGACGTGCGAGCACTCCTTGCGCTCGCACGCAAGGAGTGCTGTTTTTGTTGGTTTTCTTTTTAGCGCGATTGCTTGTGCGGACGAGGTATTATCCGAAGCTGCGTGCCCCTACCTACGTGCCCATACCTACAAGGAAACTTCACACAACTTGTGATCGGACACTAAAACGCAACGTTGTCAGAACTCTGAATACTGGTCAGGAGCCGCTCGCAGCTATGGGATCCATCGCACGATTACTCGTGCAGTTCAGACGCATTTCGAAACGATGTCGCGTGGAAAGGGATTATCCTCTAAAAATTATTTTTATTGGTGCTAACTTTACACTCCGAAGCGGTGAACACGCGCTCGAAGCTTCGAAAAGCGTTGAGGCAGCAGCGAACAGGCCAAATGTGATCGTAGCTCACTCCGCGCGGATCTGCATGACCCGATTTCTTCAAATACTAATGCCTTTAATGTAAAAAAAATACCCACCTTTGTTTTTGCTTTTTTTTGTCTTTTGAACCTCTTTGGGTGCATTGAGGGACGCAGCAATGGGTTGGCATGTCAAGCGCTGTCACCACTGCCGATCGCAGCGGAATGGTTCAGGTTGAACCCCCTCGATGCTTTACGACGCAGTAATGGCGGATTGTGTCAAGTTCGCGCAGCCGACACTAGAGGCGCTGACTTTCGTAAGGGGTCAATTGACTGCTTGGTTTCGACCGGGCTCCTGTCTGAGTTATGGTAATAGACAGTTTTAGTATAGCGTTGCTGGCTCTTACGTACGCAATACGCAATAGTATAGCGTACGCTAAAAATGACCTGCTCGGACCGAATTTAGTTGTGCGTTACGTTTTCAAGTGAACACCGCGTATGATCTTGGTTAAATTTGCTAGAACCGTAGAATTCCGCGTGCTTATAGCGCAACCATGCTCCTGGAAAGAAATATTGAAAATGAAAACGTGTCCAATAATTTTACTTCAAATTAAACCAAGCCGCTGCTGCCTCGTCAAGCGCGCTTTTCTGCGAGGTAGAGAGGCAACGAGTACGAGTGCGTAGCCCAATTCGATCACAGAGCCTCCGTCAGTCGTCCCGTGAAACGGAACCTTTTATCAATGCTATCGCGGAATGAAATTCATGACCCTGATGTCCAGTGCATAGCGAGACCTTCGGCGATTTCTTCTAGAGTCGTTTGTCGGTCCCTGTTGAACTGTGGGAATAGGCTTAGCGTTGAGCAGATCCCAGCTTTGAGGCACATTCCGAGCGGCGAACATTTTAACTGTGCACTCCTTCAGCTGCGCGGCGATCTGACTCGACCGCGGTAGGTCCCAGAAAGAATTGCCGAGCTGAACACCACGCGATTTCACGTAACACAGAACTTCGAAAACACCACGTCGTCCTTGCTACACCAGTCGAGGTAACCGCCGTCTTGAAACTGGCGCTCTCGTTGGGTCTGAGATCTCTCGAGAGCGTCCCACAAAGCCCGCTAGCCCGCCAAGCAAAATCCCCAGTGTTGCGTGCGTACGCAATACGCTATTCCTTCTATTGCGTTCTGCGCATGCGCACTCACGCCCCGCAATTTTCTCGCCTACGCAAAGCTATAGCGTGCGGTCCACTAAAACTGTCCTAATAAACCTTCCCTAAGCCCACGGAACGAGTCGTCTGGTCGATCAACTACGGCGGGCGTCGGAATTCGAACGCCACAAGTTGTGTTCGCTAGCGCTCTGTGTCGCGGTGTGACCAGTGGGATTCGACGACGTTTTGTATACATGCGTCGCCATGGCTTATGGATATTGTGGAGAGGTTTGTCGCAACTCCTTTTGTTGAATTCAAGGTCATAAAGAGGACGCAAACAACATTACAAGCGAAATTGGGGGCTGATTTACCCGACTAGCCATCGATGAAGGGATGTGTCTGCGATTTAATCCTTGAGAAGAGAACTTGAGGGTTATAGACGGCAAATGAGGCGCTCATTATACACGGCAAATGAGGCGCTCAATACGCAACTGCGAGAAACCGCGTCCGTGCTGGAAGAAACAGAAAATCAATCGCACCAAAAACAACCTCCTTATCCACGGGTTGCCAGACGTGGCAACTGAAATCTGGGAGGTGTAAATATCAAAGAATTGTCCTTTTGTTTTCAAATTTCGGCGCACACCTCGAGCCCACCAGCATTGTGCGAGTAAGCAGACTTGGCTGTTTTTCCGTTATCAAACCTCTTAATTTAATTTTTCAAGGCTAAGCAAAACGTATTGTCTAAAGCTTGTAAACTAAAGAGAAGGTTTTTTTTTTTAATTTGGGTGTGCATGATTCACATTTGTTAGAGTTCAGCACACAAAGGTTTTCGTTTACGCCTGGAATCTGATAGAACAAATTATGTATACGCTGTAAAACGTGCCAATAAAACTGGGAATTGACAATGTATTAAAATCTTTCAATGAAATTAAGAGAACTCAAAACTTAGCTGGTCAAAATATTGTCTTTGTAGCTGTCAGCTGCAGGAGCACTCAAAACAAAACAGTTTTTGTTTTAAATTTCTTCTTACTTTATTTATTTATTTATGTATATATGGTACCTCAAAGGCCCAATTACGGGCATTACATGAGGGGAGGGGGGGGGGTACATTCAGGGTAAGTATGAATCAGAACAAGAAAAAAGAAACAAATAAATAAAATAAAATATAAACACACACACACACACACAAACACACGCGCTCCGAAAAAAAAAATCTTGGATTACGGTCAAAGAAAGCAAATGCAAAGGGAAAGTATTTAGATAACAAAAAATTGATGTGAAAAAAAGTTACAATGCTAGCATGCGCAACAAGAACCCAAAAAGCAATGCTCCAAACTAAATGATTACAAATAATATCAATGATGCTACAAAAAATCAGACTTGTACGTAGTTCAAAAACTCTACTCAAGTTGCTGCAGTTTAACTACTTTTCTGAGTAGTTTCTTAACTTTTAATTACATTTGTATTTCGGTAATTAGTAGTTTACATGAATTACTTTTTCTAAGTAACTTCTACTCAAATTAAAAATTACTTTCGAATTTTAGTGTATGCTTTGCCTATCAGCAATCATTCCTGCACAAAAGGGATAACATATTGGAAGATCAGCTGATATTTGCAAAGAGGGGGAAGCATGTGGCGTAGGAAAGGGGGGGGGGGGCAGAGAAT